GTAGAGTAATATTTTGATGAGCTCAAAATTATTTCTCGCCAAATGAGTTGTCAAACAAAATTTTCCATATCCGCTATCCATATATCTAAGGCTTAGATATTATATGACTGTATACCCATCTTCGAACGGCCGAGAGTGCCAGAAAACAGAGGAAATCCACGCGAATTATCGCTTTTCCAAAAGGAAATGACACGCTGATCAGCCCGATAGGACAAATATTTTTCGAGATATCGGCGCTCAAAGTCAGCTTCTCCCGTTTATTGCCAATAGGAGCACTCCGGTAGGCTACTACGTCTCCATTTTTCAAAATTTCACGATTTCCACCACAGATTCGTTCATTACGACATCGAATTAGTCTATGTGATGTTTTTCAGAATTTTAATAGGCCAAATAAATATTTTCATTTTCCCACCTAAGACTTCTGTACGATATAGTCACCGAGCCATCTTCGGACGGCCGAAAGTGCCATAAAACAGAGGAAATCCACGCGAATTATGGCTTTTCCAGTAGAAAATGGCACGCTAAATCGAATGAGACCATGATCAGCCCGATAGGACAGATAGTTTTCGAGATATCGGCGATCAAAGTCAGCTTCTCCCATTTATTGCCAATAGGAGCACTCCGGTAGGCTACTACGTCTACATTTGCCAAAATTTCCCGATTTCCACCACAGATTCGTTTATAACGACATCGAATTAGTCTATGTGAATTTTTTCAGAATTTTAATAGGCCAAATAAAAATTTTCATTTTCCCACCTAAGACTTCTGTACGATATAGTCACCGAGCCATCTTCGGACGGCCGAAAGTGCCAGAAAACAGAGGAAATCCACGAGAATTATGGCTTTTCCAGTAGAAAATGGCACGCTAAATCGAATGAGACCATGATCAGCCCGATAGGACAGATAGTTTTCGAGATATCGGCGATCAAAGTATTCAAAGTCAGCTTCTTCCATTTATTGCCAATAGGAGCACTCCGGTAGGCTACTACGTCTCCATTTTCCGATATTTCCCGATTTCTACCACAGATTCGTTCATTACGACATCGAATTAGTCTATGTGAATTTTTTCAGAATTTTAATAGGACAAATAAAAATTTTC